GCCTACAGTATTTTTAGTCTTTATTTTACAGTTAAAATAAATGTTTATCAAATAAAGTTTAATGTTACAATTAATCGGGGATCCCTTTAATAAAAGTTTCCAGAGGTCATCAGAGGTCAAGCAGCCCCTCCACATTACCCAAATCAAACTAAACTGGGGTCAAAAACTGATGACCTACCAAAACTTTTATTAATATTTTAAAAACTATAACAGCAAAAACAAACATTTTAATGCACAAAGCTGCACAAATGTAGCACAAAAGTTTGACACCAGTTTCGTTAGATTTGGTTAATGTGGGGGGATGACTGACCTTTTGACCTTTACACTTTCATTAATATCTTCAAAACAAAAGCAGCACAAACAAAAGTTTTAACAGCACAAATGAACACAAACTTAACACAAACGATTGGCACCAGTTTTGTTTGATTTGGATAACGTGGAGGTGAGGGTGACCTCAGATGACCTCTGGAGCTTTTTATTAATATCTTGAAAACATTTTTTTTGTTGCACAAACCAGCACAAACGCTTGACACCAACTTTGTTAGATCCCACTCCACTTTTCCTCTCCAACTCCACCCCTACCTCCACTCCCCCAAACAGTGTGAGAGCACTACAGCTTTTTTTGTGAAATTACAGATTTCTGATGGTCAAGAAAAATGTCTTAAGGGGTTGACATGTATGACATCATCACAAAAGTGTGCAAAAGTGAGAATTTACAGGTGCTTTAATAGAAACTAACAAGCAAGTGATTTAAAATCGAATATGCAGTTATGGCTGCTTTGTACAATTTTCTATTCTGGGAAGTAATTTAAAATGAAAAGAGAGTGTACGCACTTGAATACTGCTATGAGCAAGTTGACGAGCAGTATGTTGGCCACCAACAGATAGCAAGCCATGATTGCAGGGACGATCCAAGCTCCAGTCTTACAGGGTGGTAGGGTCACCACCACACCATCTTCTGTCGTGATATTTTGTCCACAAGGAGCTGCACAGTGTCACAAAACAAACACATGCAGTACACATACTTTAATGCACAGTAGATTATGTTTAAAGAAGGGGTTTTAATCCATAGAATTTGAATCATTTTGGATGTATGGTAAATTAGAAAAGCATGCAGACACAGCATAAACCACAAATGAAAAAGAAAAAAATATATATGATAAAAGCTTCAGCAAATTAATGGGAAAAAAACACACAAAAAAACCACAAAAAATATTTAAGACACATTCAGTACAAGACCAACTACTACAAAAAGACAAGCAGATCCAAAAAGACCAAACAAACTACACAAATACATATTTTGTAAACAAACAAAATGTATTTTTATGCTTTTGTTTTCTCAGAGGGTTTTCAAAAGAGCAGACACTATAATGGCAGGGGCTTATGTTCAGAAATGGGTTTCTGAAAACAAAACACACAGAACAACACATTTGTCATGTGTCATCACAGTCTATGTTCTCAATATATTTAAACATGTGTTTAAAATATATTGTTCAATATGACAGCCATAGCTTCATTCAGCAATGGTTGATTGCTCTGAGGTTTTTGCTGAAATGTATTTAGGATACACAGTATGTTTTTTCCATCCGTGATAGTTCAGTTGCTGGGGCTGATCTGTGGAACATTCAGCATTCGTTGTCGGTTTGTTTGCCTTGGAGTTTCGGCCTAGTCATGCTCATCATTTCTTGGTGATCGGTTGTTTCACACAATGTAGCCCAAAGACAGAGAACTGAAGTAATTTCTTGTTAGCCTTTTTTTTCTTACTTTCCGAAAAATTTGGACATAAAAACTCTGACAACTGAACCACGTGAAAAAACAGATTCGAAATGATGAAATGTGGATAGTAGCTACATCATAATGTGGATGCACATTTTTTTAATTCTGTGTGATATTGTGGGATATTAATGTTTGAGTAAATTTTAGTGCTCAGCCATGAAGACTACTATTTAGATCAAGTTAATTATTTAAGATGTGAAGCAGCTACTTCTGTGGGAAGCTTAGCTGGCGTGGAGAGGTGGTGATAATGGTTCATGCGAAACGTGGCTTTCTCATGGCAAGGTCACGTCTTCAGATTAAAGTAATTTAGAATTAAGCAACAAATAAACGGAAAGAGGCATCAAGAGGATATCAAGTATCTGATAGTTCTTCTTGATGTGGCAGCTGACCAAAAACAAAGACCATAAAAAGAAGAAAAAACATCTGAAAAGGGCTGCATATCTGACCAGCCAAAACCAATTGGAGTAAAGTTGCTTACAGGGTATAGCCTTAGGTCAAGCTACTAGCTGTCCTAAAGATTTGGAAAAGAGAGTAGTCTGACAAAGTCAGGCCTTCATTTACTTCCGATTTATCTGAACTGGTCTATTAAATACAATGCTACTGATATCCAGTAGTTGACCTGAAATGCCAACACAAGGGCAACTTTAGCCTTACAACCAGGAACCACATGCACACTTTTGTCTCAAGAGGCCTCTTGTGTTAGGAGTGGGCATGTCATGATGTCATGATGATGCGAGGATGACAGAGAGGTGGGATAGGTAGATGTGGTTAAACTGAGGTCTATGTGTGTAGAATTACTGGGATTTTGACTGCACTGGGCAATGTGGGATGGACCATTGCTACGCCAGGTTCCGTGCGTTCGAAAGTAATTTTCGACCAGCCAGAGTTTTTCATTCAGCCTTTGCTGTAACTTCCTACTATGCATATCTGAAACAAAGAATGAAAACATTATTTCAGATCTCTTCTCTTTGGGCCACTCCTCACATTCTGTGCACACCATCATATACAGTGCCATACTAAAAGACAACAGAACAGCACACAGACAGACTCTTACTCTCACAACATTTGTTCACAGACATCTCCTACATCTTGTTTTTGTTTTGCTTTATGAAGTCGTAATATTAACCAGGTATAAAAATATACTGTATATATAGATTTATAAAAAATAAACTGATTGTTGGTGGTCTTACGTTTTGTGGATTTGTCAAAAACTTAACCAACAATAAATTCATTTATCTGACTGATGTGGTTAGTATGCTCACTGACAAAAAAGAATTGAAGCACCCAGAAGGAATGGTCCAATTTAAATGCAATCCGGTCCTCATGAAGACAAGTGATGGGCATTTAAATAATTTCAGTATGAAAGAAGTTGGCACATCAAGGATGAGCACCAGAGGGCATATGTGGTGGCATCACAAGTGGAACAATAAGTGTGTTGGGCAATTGTCAGAGCATCTGACAATCACTCAAAACAGTGAGTGAAGGTCACCAGCCACAGAAGATGCCTCATGTAGATGCATTAGACAGCATTACTGCCCCTTTAAGTTTGACTTGATAAGTCACGTTGTGGGTTTGCACGAGGTCAGGCAGTCATATCTTTTATTATCCAGCACGTGGGGGCACAGGAGTCCCAGTGGCAAAATCTTGGAATCAATGCCCAGTAGTCTTTGAGGCTGACACTGTATCTACCTTTAACACTAGGCTTCAGACTTTCCATTTGCTACATCCTATTGTTTCTGTGTGTTCTTTTCTTCTCATCAAAACTTCTGAGGTTTTGTTGTGAATTGGTGCTATATAAATAAACTCAACAGATGCAAGGGTTGTGAAGGTTATAACAGGCCTACACAGACCACACCAAAATAGGATTGCTGTATTGTGCACCAAACATTACAGAACCCATGATATCTGCACTTGCTATCCAGACACAAGAAGGGAACTCTTTACAACCCCTCATGCCATTCTGCTTTGTGTCTTGATAATTAGCATAATCCAGACTATAGGTTCATCATTCCAAGAACAGGCTGCCGTTAACATAAGTGTAGAGATAAATGTGTTCAGATTGGTGCTGTAACTAAGAGGCATGGACTGATGATGAGTGGTAAATATTGTCCAGTGATGAATAATAGCTTTGCACTACCACACATGACTATAGTATGAGCTTACAGTAGTCCTAAGAGGAATGAACCATTTCTGTCAAAATCATGGAGACACATCTGGCATCATGGTGTGAGGAACTACAGAACATGCTCATCATTGGTAGAGGTTTGGGAAACACCGAGGACACAGAGCTTTGTCAGTTGCATCCTTTGTTCATATAGCTTACTCTTCCTGAGACAGCATCCTGGGACAGCCTTTCAACAACACACTGTTTGTTGCACTACCTTAGCCTGGCCCTTGCCTTCCTATTCATTTCTGCTCAATTCCAGTTTCCCTTCAGTGCTACATCTGGGATTTCTCCCATAGACAAGGATTTCTTCAGGAGAATTTTTGTCCAGGCCAAACAGAGAACAGAACATAGATTTTCTGCACAGTGTCTGCCTGTAGTTTATTTTACCTGGGCCAATCAGCAAACAGAAGGCGGAGTTTTGAACAAGGTCGATTTTCTGCGCAGTGCCTGCTGGTTAGTTTAGCTATGGCAGTGAAGGAAGTGAAAGAAGCCAGTCTGTGTTGATAAGCCTTCCAAATTAAAATAAATTTGTCTGACAAAGCAGCAGCTCTCATTTACAGTCATCTCATTCGGCTCGGTACTTTTCTCTTTTGTTTACAGCACACGCAATGTTCGGTTAGCTTCTTAGCTTAGCCTCCTTCACAGTGGAGCTGACGCACATTCGTCGCGGCCCACTGATCCAGTCATTTTAAACTTCAGCAGAGGCCACGCCTCCAGCAAGAATCACTTCTCCATAGCCGCGAGTCCAGACCCTATACGAAGCAAAGTGTAGTGGTCACCTAGGGGTGGAATAAACTGTTCCACCTGTCTTTGACCTTGGTCTCAGAAAACCTCCTTCAGAGAGACACCATCTTTGTTCCATATGAAGTGGAGCTGATTTTCCTCCTCAAGAAACCCAGTGTTCGGTGATGAGATCTAAGCTCACGTGCCAATGAGCAGATCTTTGTCACAGGTTCACGATACCACCAGTCGTGACCAAAACAACCACTTTTAAGACTCCACTGAGTTTTGTTTGAAAACTTCTTTTGTTTTGAAAGAGGACCCGATCGGCTTTGACTCTCCATTCGAACTGCAGATATCAGGAGACGCTACTTGAAGTCCTACTGGGAAGTAAGCTGAACCTGACCGGAGCTCTTGCTGACCCAGACGAGAACTTCCTCAACGCCTGACCTGACGTGAAATTATCTAAAAAGTAGAGGCTGAATGTTTGATTAAGCATGCCAGTGTCCGGCTCAATCGAGTGGGAGACTCATGCCCCCATTCCTGGCTCCTCACATACTGATAAAATGAAAAGTTAGGGCTAACCCCTCTTTCCCTTTATTTCTTAACCTTTGCTTATTCCCTGTCAAAACCTTAAGAACAAGTGTTGCAAACAATGGTTTATTTAAAGACCTTAAGCCTCAAGTTTGTTGTTCCTGATAAAGTTGTCAAAGTAATGATAATTAACTCGGACGTGTGTTAATTGTTGTTGATTTCAACTTTTTATAAGAAATTTGATTGTCCACAATAAGCTGTACATTAGTAATTTATTTTATTCTGTAAATAAATCTAATTTATTTTACATTAACTTAAATGCCTGAGTATGTTCACTTATTGTGTGGTTTATCTCATATTTACACAGAGAAGTTGTTTATTTCCTTAAACAGAAGAATCTGTTAATTTCCTTATAATTTTTATTATAAGAAGGGGCATGTCATACCCCTACAAAAGTGAAGGACAAGGGTCTGGTTTTTACCAGGCTAGGACTGCCTTTGTCGTGTTGAGATATTTTCATGGCCAGCCAAGTCCCTGGATTTTTCCCCAACTGAGGATCCTTGGGATCAACTCTGACCCAGTGCCAAGCTTTTGGATCCAGTGGGCCCATTAAAACAGCTGTAGGTGAACTTGCTTCATTCCTCATTAAAATGATCACTTGTATCCAGGCCCAATAGGGTGACACACCATAATCCCACTCAGAATAAGCAGTGTACCTAGCTGTTTCATTTGATCACAAACTCTTTCTTTTTTGTCAGTGAGTGTATGTGTTTCAATCTTAAAGTATTAATCCTAATTTCATCAAGAACATAATTGTTTTATTTACTGTTGATTGTCTCTTCAGGGTCAAGAAGAACCCTGACCCAAATTTATTATATTTATCATCTGACAGCCAAAACTTACGGTCAATCTGATCAGCAAACACCTCTCCGTAGATCATCCAGTAAGGCATGAAGAAGATATTTCTGGCTAGCATCCAAGACGGGTCTTCATTGGGGTTGAGGATGGCTTGACGGGCCACCCCGAAACTCATCAGCACCACCAACATGATGATCACAAAATACATCATGTCGATCATCTGACAGAGGGGTGGAGTGGAGAGGGAGGGGAGGAGTAAAGGAATGGACAGCAGTTAAGAGTGTTGAAAAAAAGTGGACTAATGAGGCAAAGTGGAAGCACAGTTGGAAAAACCCAAATTAATTATAGTTTGCATTTGCATATTTGATTTCTATCCCTATAAAATTTAATTAGATTTGTATTGGAATGAGACTCAGACCCAGTAATTAAATAGCATCTAATTTGGTTTAATTTTTAGATTGATTAAAGAGTTTAAAGAGGTTAAAGAGCTGAAGAGGCCACCCTCCCTGCAAGCTAAATTAAGCTCTACAAAACTGTGGCAGAGAATAGTGTATAATAAGACTGTTACTTATTTTCAATATGAAAAGGCAAAAAAAGAAAATTGGGATTGCATTTATTTTTTAGAATTATGTTATTTTTTTAATTTAAAGGCTTAAAAGATTGTGTAAGCCTTATCATTGCATCCTTATCACAACTCCTCTGTATTCATGTCACTAATATATTCAACATTAGACAAGCTTAGTGCCACTGACGATGAAGAAGCTAAGATACTAATATTCAGATATTCAGTTCTGCTTTCTACTGAAGTGGCAAAAAAAAAAGACAAGCTTAGTGCTGCGGTGCCCATGGGCGTAACCACCGTAGGTACAGGGTGGGACATGCTGCCCCCACTTCCCACATCTGTGCTCTCTGTCCCCCCCCACACACACACACTTATTTCAACCGAAGCAGGGAAAACAAGACCTTTAAAAAATGTGCCCCCCTCACTTTTAGGATGGTGATTACACCCTTGGCGGTGCCACAAAAGCTGATAACTTGACTGACTTCCCTCAACAACTGCTGACTTTCACATCAAAGACTTTGTGTCCAGCTGTACTCAGTTCATGTCAGAAGCAGTCAAGCCTCAGATGGTAACAGATCTGGATTTTCATGTATAAATCAAAGGCTCTGATCTTGTATTTGTTGAGATCAAACAATCAAGTTAAGAGGTGCGGGAGCCTTATTCACATTAGACGTGCATCCCACCTACATATTGCAATTTTTGCAGTCATGGCGCTCCCTTTCATTATACAGTCACCATCAATAATGTCAACCAAGGTCAGACAGTAAACTTATCCCATAGAAGAATTTATAATGATTTGGAACTAACAGGATATACAGCTGAAAATAACACATAAACACAGCCAGTTGCCCACCCTTGCATCCTCTCACCATCTTGCCAATCATCATCACGTAGGGACCTAAGTACTTGTTGACTCCGAAGATGTCAAGCAGCCGGATGTACCAGTAGATTATGTTGACACAGTAGATGACGCGCCCGTAGCTCATGAGTGGTGGCTCCTGCAGACGCAGAACCATGCCAACAGAGAAAATGAGGATGGCCATGAGGTCTGTGATATTCCAGTACTCCTGAAGCCACACCTTCACCTTCTGCAGCAACTTGCCCGGCTCTGACATCAAGATCTGGAAGACATGCAGTAAAAAATTACTAAAAAACAAAACAAAAATAATGCTAGGGAGATAGGAAGAAGTGTAGTAAACAGAAAGGTTGTAGATTAACATTTTGGGAATAGACTGAACTAGACAAACAGAGAAGCATTCTATCATAACCACCATAAGAGGGCAGTATACATTCATCAATCAGAGAATTGGACATCTGAGGAGGCATTACAGTGCAGCTGAAAATGATGTGACACAATGATTAATGCATTTCATACACTTACAGTATATAGCCAGAGTAGGGTTAGATTTATTATTTGGTCACAACGTATTTTCTTTTTACTTTTTTCTTTTATTTTTCCATTTCTATGACCTTCTGTTTCTACCATCATCCTGCTACCCATCTCTTCTTCCTTATTGGGCTTTTTTTCAGCTTCCAATCCACCAATCCATCACTGTTTTCCTCATTCATTTAGCTGTTTTACGAAATAGACTTAAAGCTTATACTCTATTTTCGTGCACAAAAATAGCCAAATTAAACTTTGGTTCAAGTTACAGTTACTTCATCTGTGTTTTGCAACATGCAGAACAGCCAAGAATTGAATGTACCTCTCTCATTTTCTCAATGCCGTTGGTGAAGATGTAAGCAATGACAATCCACTCTTGGGGAGAAGGCCACAGGTCCATCTTAACCAGAACAATGTAGTTAAACAACATCAGGTATCCCACATATGCCATCTACATGAAATACACAAGCAGAGAAAAAAGAAGCAGGGTCTTATTTTGTGTTACATGCCTGTATTTTAGCGGTATTGACATAATGGGCAGAAATTAAGTTTATTTCTGTTCAATATATGGAAAAACAATTCAAGAGGGCTACATTGACAAGGGCTTTAATGAGTTAAAATCAACACTTATAAATGCAGACTGACTGCAATTCTATCTTTTTCAAGGTTTTTCTAACAGAATACAAATATTCAGAGTTAAAAAAACATTCTACATAAACTGCATTTTTCATCATATAAACAGATTTGGAGTGAAACTGTATATACTTTTATATAGTTATGGATCAGATTGAAGTATTTAAAAAAAGTCAGATCTTTTCTTCCTGTTGCAAATTAAGCTTTTGAGTAACATAAGTGGGTGAAGTGATTGTAATATGAGAGACTGATTTTTCCTGATAAAACTTATACCCAGCTGGATTCTTTGATGAATTGGACTGTGGTTATTAAAAAAAAAAACAAGGCAGCGTTCCCCAGCAGGTGACAGATATGAATACAATTTGTGCAATGAGTTGAAAGCTCACATTCTGAGAGAAAAACAAGCTGATGTTCTTCAGGTAGGTTCACTTAAATGCATTATTTGCTTTTCCTTTAAAGGAGACATGATTTTAAAACCTTCTTTTTCACATTTAAATCATTCAGTTGGGGTCTATGTGAAGTGGAACTGCAGTGCTATGGTCTGAATTCCTCGTTATTGTAACTCCACAAGCCAGTCTTTCACCCCTTTGCTCAGGGGTGGGCAATCCTGGTCCTCGAGGGCCGCAGACCTGCATGGTTTAGCTACCTTTTTCTCTGCTCCAACACACCTGAATCAGTGACTGATTTACCTCTTCCAAGTTCTGCAGAAGCCTGTTAATCACCCATTTGTTCAAATCAGGTGTGTTGGAGCAGAGAAACAAGTAAAACATGCAGGGCTACGGCACTCGATGCCCACCCCTGCCTTTGCTGATGTGTGTCTCAAAGCAACTCTTTTTGACGCCGTCTCTTTAAATGCAAATGAGGCGCTACACACCCTACCTACTTCAAGCTTCCAGACCAATTCATTCTAATTTGATAGAGGGTGTAAAGTCTATGTTGCAGCACAGAAATGTTTTATTTGCAAATTAATCAAACAACATCAACAACAGAAAACTTGTCAATCCAGCTTTACATGTTGGAGCTAGAATCTGCATTTCCATTGCAAATGTGCACAAAACTTGGTCGATATTCTGTTAATGTCGAAAAACACAGTTTCGCAACTGCGGTGTTTCCATTAAGTAAGAAATGCCATTAAAGTCACTCATGAATATGTTTGTTCTTGTGATAAATCATTACAAACATGGCGGCAATGGATGTAAACACATAGCATATTGCTACCACGACACTAGCGCTCATCATCAGAGGAGACGTCGACGTCTTTTATTGAGGCTTTCCAGCGACAAGCCCCTACTTGGGAGCGGCTACATATGCTGTGTATTGGGGAAATTGTAGTCGGTGAGTTTACTACTTTCTTTTACTACTTCTGATATTACTACTACTTCTACTTCCTGTTATCTTCTTTGTCATCGTCTTTTTCGTCAGTGGAAAGAGCCGGTTGTTGATCACGTGACTCCCGTGATGCAAATAAAAGTGTTTCCATTGCAGTTTTGCTAAAAACACCAATTTCGATACGGCTGAAAAACCACCTCATATAGCGCAAAATTATTTTGTCGAAAAACATAATTTTTTTTCGAAATTGACGTGTTTCCATTGAGCAAATTTATTTTCGAAATTCTAATTTGTGCATTTTCATGGTCAATGGAAACATAGGAGTCTGACCTAGAGTCAGAGGAGAATGAAGACGACAAAACTGTAGCTGGTAAGTCCAGACCTTATGGCAATTTCGTCACAAATATCTTGATGTAATATTTCAGAAAACTATTTTCTGTACCCCTAGAGATTCCAAGTACACAACAAAATGCATTTAACTATTAAAAAAAGTAGATTTAGCATGATACGCCCCCTTTAAGCTGAATGAAAAAAAAAGGAGGAATGGGATGAAGCAAACAAATATTTTCTCAGCACAAATAAACAGCTAAGAACCCTTGCTGGTGCTACATAAACATTTTCACTGGACAAATAAATTGAAGGCATCTAAACGTAGGAAAACAACAACAAAAAAGACCAGCTTTTATGAAATATTATGCTTACAGGCAGAGAAACACAAACTACAAACAGAATCTAAATGCTTGCCACTATGTAAAAGATGCAAAAACACACAGATTGAATACTTACTCCCCCTACTTGGTGTACCACTCTGTAAACTTCAGATCAAATATGCAACTCAAATGGTGTACTGCCAGAGGTTTTACTGTATGTTCAAGGTACTGATTAAATATAACCACAGTATGTGTGAGTCCATTCTTTCTCCCTCATCTCTCTGTTTCCAGCAGTCTCTCCCTTCTCACTTGACTCAAACGCCCCATAAAGCTGCTAAATGTTATGTTGGAACAGGAGTCTAACGGCAGGGAAGGCTGAGTGAGAGCGGACATTAAACACAGTAATGGTGCCTTTGCAGAACAGTCAGTCGGCAGAAAGCGGAGTCCGCAGGAGAATGTGGGAGGTGTTGCTCAAGCCGACTCTCACCGTATGAAACCAGAACTTGACAATTGGAGCGTTGTAGAACTCGTATATCTTGCGTCCCATGGGGATGAGGCGGTGGCGGCTCTGAACCTCCTCGACATCCTTCTTTCTGGATGCCTCTGCGGTTACCTTACCCAGCATTGCCTGGGCGAACGCAAGCCCCACAAAGAGCGATGGAGGAGGGAGGGAAAGGTGTGAGGATTCAACGAAAGGAGAGTGTGGGAAGGAAGGTGTGTGTGTGTGTTTGTGTGTGTGTGTGAGAGAGAGGAGGGGTTGTTAGAGATGCAAAAAAATAAATAAATAAAATGGAGATGGAGGTGGGAAGTGATAAAAAAATTAGGAGAAACAGGAGACAGAGAGCAGAGTTATATTAAGAACATCAGCACCGTTTTAACAGCATATTTAAAGAAGCAAGCGCAGGCGATGTCATCATTCCAAGATGTGAAATGTATGTCTGAGGTGGCATTTGAGTGAAGGCTGATATTGTGACACAGTAATGACGAAGACACGGACACTCATGGATTGTGTCTCAGACAACAATTAAGAGGCAGGAGATAGACAGAGAAACAGACAGGAGGAGTACAGAAAAAAAAAACAAGAACAGGAAAGAAAAAAAGATTAGACATAGATATCTCAACTCAATCTGTGACACATTTCCTTATCCATGAGAGAGGGTTGAGAGCCCGAGGTTTTTATGGGTCATGGTCTTAATGTAAAAGCAACACCAGATCTCTGAGGGAGTTCATCCATGAAATTGTATTGTAAGTCTAAAAACATTGCAGACCTGGCAAAAGGCATAACTTTTGGAAATAGTGATAAAAACTTTTTCTGTGAAATCAGCAAAAAGAAAAGAAAAAAGATAACTTTTAAATATGCGTCATCTTTTAAACTAAAACACGATTTAATCCAAGGCATGCACAGACGGATCCTATAAGAACAACATACTCAAATTACACTTTTAGGGATGCAAAAGTTAAACCTGTGACTAGAACAGACTGATTTTAAAGTAAAAGTCTGAATATTTTTGAAGCGGTAATTTGCGAAGCTGTTAACAGTCATTAGTAATCTGCAATATAGTGCACGTTTATGTTGTAAGATGTGCAGAAAGAAAATCTTATAAAATTAAAAAGCTATAATGAGGTTTAGAATTGAGTGAATTTTATTTTACTGGAAAAAATGTATTTATAGATTTACAGTAACAGAAACAAAAAGCTTGGGAACTTTTTTAGTGAAAAAAACAACATGCTATATACAGTACATTTTGTCATCAACATACAATCAAATGATCAATTTAACCTAAAATTAAATATATTTATCAGTTGATAATTATACATTTTGGAGAGAAATATAGACTGTAGATTTACAAATATAACAAAATAACCAGCCTAGGAAACTCTGATCGATGCATCTCTCTTAAATGAACATGATTGTTGGGTTGACTCAGAAGGTAAGTACAAGATATCACACAAGCAGTTATCATTACCCTATGATTTAACTAAAGCATTAGAGGATACAACAATACAATCTCCCTCTGTGGTGAAGCAGTTTGTGTGCATCTGTATGAATCTGTGTGATTCATAAGAACCTGAAGGTGCACTTGTGCAGTCAGAAGCCAGGGCAATGGGAAGAGACTCATTACAAATGTATTCTCTTGGAAAAGGCTTTTTGTTTAATACCACAGAGCCTCTGGGGCTTTCAGTGCTACAGGGCTGCTTTTGTGAGTGTTTGCTCTGGCTTGCTGGCTTAGCTGTATGCAGATGGAAAGTATGTACAGTGGCGCTGAAGGAGTACAATTTCAGTTTAGTCAATTCTCGGGAGGAATACTGATCCTGTTTGGGTTTTGCAGTTGCTTCCCAAATAACAGTCTCCATTTAATGAACCCAAACTGGATCACAGAATCATCACAAGAACTGAATGGACTGAAACAGAACATAGCCTATTCCTGCTGTACATCCATGTCTATGCAGATGGACCAACTCTTCCACTGTGAGCTGGGAGAAGGTGCTCAGACTCTGCATGATTAAAGCCCCGCAGCATCATGCAGACACAGTTATATAATGCAAAAGCCTGGGCCTCCCATGCTCAGCAGCTGACATGCTGAGTGGTATGCTGCAGCAAACCGTTTCTGATGGGAGAGAGTGAGGGGCAGCAATCGGCTGGCGTACGGTACTATACCTCAGTCAGACCTGAGCTTGGAGGAGAAGGAAGAAGAGGGAAAGAGACAGCAAAATAGGGGGGAATTTGCAAAATAAAAGATAGAAAGCAGAGGCAAAGAGAGAAAAAAAGGAAGGAAGAAGAGGGCAGAAAAAAAGAACACACACACACACGAGGGAACCCACGAGCGGCGACAGACTGAGACGCTACAACTCCACACCATGTCGTTGTAAAGACAACGAGAAACAGGTAAGGCCCATTTCACTGGAAGTGTCCAGTTGGCCGGACAAGAAAGTGTCTGTGAGGAGGACTATGTGTGTATGTGCCTGTCTGATTGTGGGCATCAAGAATAAAACATTAAATATGTCCACAAAAGACTCTTATGCAGAATCAGTGATCTGTTTTGGAGTCAAAGTGCGAGTGTACGGTGTTTGAATAGGTGTACAGATTCTGAGATGCAGGACTGAGGTCTCTCACCACGGAGTTGTACTGCGTCTCACAGTAAGATCTTACTGTGAACTCCATGTCCTCCTCCTCCTTCTCCTTGACTGGTTTCTCAGGCTCCTTCTCTTCCTTCTCCTGCAGATAGGTCTCCTGATCCTGGGGCATGTAGGACATCTCATCCTTGTTTTTGAACTCCAGACTCAGGATGGACGGTGGCAGAAGCAGACCTAAAATCACCTAGCAAGGGAGAGGCAGAGGCAGAGGAAAGTTGAATCACAGATGGGAAATTTAGACAAGTCTGAAACCAACAAACCATTATGATTTTGTTCAGCACACATATGGATCCCCCATGATAGAAAAGTACCCTTACAACCATTTGTGCATCACGCAGCAGCCTGCGTGCAGCCGTACAATAAAGCTTTGGAACTCAGGCGAGGGCTCTTACTGTAGAAGTCAATTATAAAAGCATTATTTTAAACAGACAGTGAAATTACCGTGCTGCCGGGGTCTATGACAGGAGCACTTAGAGAGACGTATGTGCTCTACACACTAAAGGAACAAAAATCAAGAAGAGTGAGCTGTAAGTAAGGTGTGCTGAAGCCACAACAGAAATGTTAAGAACATTTTTTTTCTATTGAATAGTGAATTCTGGGTGTAAAAAAAAGAAATATTTTAGGATGAAGAAAAAGAGATCAGCGGGTTAATTCAGGGGTTCCCAAACTTTTCCAAGCCACGGCCCTCCAAACAGCATTAGCGTCCCTTGAAAACCTACAAACAATTCTACAAAATATGTAAAGAAACATCAACTCCTGGATTGTTTTTTTCTCACTTTTATTCACTATTCAATACAACATGTTTTAAACACTATTACCAATGAAAAACAACTTTTCAACGAACTGTTGCTGATTAGAACAGAACAAAAGAAATCAAACCACTCTTATATTAGCCTAAAAACCAGACTCTTGTTTTACTCTTTGCTTTGCACAGAGGGTCTGAAACCACGACTATTGAGAAGCGATTTCTTGCTGGAGGCGTGGACTGTGTTGAAGTCTAAAATGATCAGATCTGATTTACCCAATCGTATGTTTGACCCCCAAATACATACTGGACCTTCTGAAGCCTCTCTGTCCATCCAGGACTTTGAGGTCTTCTAATCAAATGCTGCTGGTGGTCCCTCAAACTCATTATAAAACCCGTGGAGACAAAGCTTTTCAGGTGGTGGCCCCGAGGCTCTGGAACGCTCTCCCTCTGTCCCTTCACTGCTCAGATTCTACTGACTCTTTTAAGAAACATCTTAAGACATTTTTTATTCAGACAGGCTTTCACTTAAGTGCTTTTTATTGTTGTTTTTATGTCTGTGATCTGTTTTATTGTTTTAAATTATTTTTGCTTTCTGTGAGGCACTTTGTGATGTTTGTCTGTTAAAGGTGCTATAGAAATAAAGTTTACTTACTTACTTACTTACTTACTTACTTACTTACTTACTTACTTACTTACTTACTTACTTACTTACTTACTTACTTAC